CCCCTCCTCTTCCCTCCTCTTCCCTCTCCCCTCCTCTCCCCTACTCTCCCCTACCCTCCCCTACTCTCCCCTACTCTCCCCTACTCTCCCCTACTCTCCCCTACTCTCCCCTACTCTCCCCTACTCTTCCCTACCCTCCCCTACTCTCCCCTACTCTCCCCTACTCTCCCCTACCCTTCCCTCCTCTCCCCTACTCTCCCCTACTCTCCCCTACTCTCCCCTACTCTCCCCTACTCTCCCCTACTCTCCCCTCCTCTCCCCTACTCTCCCCTACCCTTCCCTCCTCTCCCCTACTCTCCCCTACTCTCCCCTACTCTCCCCTACTCTCCCCTACTCTCCCCTACTCTCCCCTACTCTCCCCTACTCTCCCCTCCTCTTCCCTCCTCTTCCCTCCTCTCCCCTCCTCTCCCCTCGCCCCGGGGCCACACACACCCCTTCCCTCTCTGTCTTACCTGGACTATCCGTCTTTCGCTGGTTCCCGCTTCACTCGTCTGCGAAGTAACGTCTCCCCCCTTTACCATTCACCCTCGTTCCGGTTGACGAACTGGCCCTAAGGGTCTTAAAAGCCATAGGGATTCTAGGGACAATCGTGAAGCGCTTTTAACCTTATCTTGTGGCGGTGTGTTACCGTTCTTGTCGCCTCCATCCAAGGGGAAAAAGGCATTGGCCTTAAGAAGGTCCCGAGCGGGGCCGAGGGGAAGGGGGAAGGCGCTTGGCGCTGCATGCATGTGCGTGTGGATTCATTAGACATGCTGTGAAAGTACGTGGCGGAACTCGCAGGGAATGGACACGACGGCGGAAAGGGGATACTCACGTCATCGGGTCGTAGGGGCACTCTGCGCAGGAATTGCGTCACGCCCTCTCCGGTGATCTCGCCGTAAGTAGGGGAGCCGCCAGTGGCCTCCACCAGAGCGGCTTCCCTGGACAGGTGAGGATGAAGGGTTGTGTTACAGGTAATGAAAGGGCAGAGCAAAGGGCGTCATGGCCTGCGTACCCGTGCTGATATATTCGCAGTCCCTCTACCCAAAGCGATGGCTTGATGGCGAGTTTGGCATGTGAGGTAGTAGCTGGCGAGACCCACATCGCATGGAATCCCACAACGATACATGAGGTGCGACCCTGTCGCAAACCGTGGACAAGTCAAGCCTATAAGGGCGAAGCCCACAGAAAATAAATATAGCTCTCCTCACGGAATGGCTAATGAAATCCAATCAAGGGAAATACCTTTTGGGAATGACGTATCCTCCCTTTGACATGAAAACTTCCTCGGCATCGTCGTACAGCGCGTCGAAA